CAGAAGATCTAGCTAAGATCATTGATGAAGGTGGCTACACTAAACACAGATTTTCAAGGTCATTAAGTAGTCCTATTACAACAAGATGCCACCTAGGACTTTCAGAGCTAGAGAGGGAAGTTAGTGTCTGGCTTCAGAGCTTCAAAGGACAGGCTGACACTCTTGTTTGGGGCTAATGGAGCTGGTGACTTTAAGTTGAAGCCAATGCTAATTCCAAAAATCCTAGGGTCCTTAAAACTGAAACTGCTCTGTCTGTGTTCTATAAATGGAAAAACAAAGTTTGGATGACAGCACATTTGTTTATAGCCTGGTTTATTGAATATTCTAAGACTAGTATAGAGATTTATTGCTCAAAAGAGAAGATTCTTTTTGAAATACTGAAATTGACAATGCACCTGGTCACCCAGAGCTCTGATGAAGATGTACAAAGAGATTACTATTTATATACTACTATATAAATACTCCTAAGAAGTTACAGAACAAGGACAACAAAAAGTAGTAACTATTTTCTTGAAGTCATTAGGTTTTATATAAAAATCAGGGTTGTGTTGTTTTCCATGTAATCAATATTCCTATACTTTAATTTTAAAAAGTATTGAAACCATATTCAATGGCCAATTAAATTATACCTCTTGATGTTTAATATATTGTGTTTATCTGTAAACATTTATTTCTTTAATATATACAGTGATATATAAAAGATTATAAATTGCTAAAGGCTCAGATGATTATTAGCATTTTTAACAATAAAGTATTTTTTTGTTAAGGTATGCATATTGCTTTTTAGACACAGAGCTATTGCATACTTAATAGACTACAATATAATATAAACATAATTTCTGTATGCCCTGGGAAACTAAAACATTTGTGTGACTCACTTTACTGTGATATTCACTTTATAGCAGTGATCTGAAACAGAATCTGCAATATCCTTGAGGTCAGCCTGTGCTTGGGAAATACACTTGGACAGTTAGATAGTGCTAACTATATTATTGAGTACATGGCATCAGAAGCAAAACAGGAGGAAATAGCAAATACAGAAAAATTTATTTTTTCTAGCCAGAAAAGAGTAATAATTAAACTTGCCTTTGAGGGAATTTAGCCTGGCACAATCAGACAGATTGGACTGGGCTAGAGTGGAGCCCAGAATAAAGAAACCTAAGTGAGAGGCTATTGCAATCATCAGGGCTGAAATTGCTGAGAAATATGATTATGGGAGTTAGTAACGGAAATGTGTTAAAGAACAATATTTTAAAACTCTTAAAAGAGACAGAATTCGACACAGGAAAAAGCACCCTAGAAACAATTGTGACTCTCATCAAGTAATCATATATAAAATTCTGTCCTAATTCATAAAAACATGTGGAAAGGTAGAAATCAACTTCAATGAATAAAAGCACGCATTTGTGTTACCTATTAATACATAAAACCTGTTGAATTTGGCAATGTAAACTTATTGCACCATCTGAATGTACTAACTTGAAAGAGTAAGGTTTGCTTTATTCCCTCAAGGTCAAAAGGCTGCTCTTGGGAAACCCCAAAAGGCATGAACTCTCTGGATGAAATACTATGCTTGGAGCTCCCTGAAGTGCACATTTGAGTACCATTAGCAAAGGAGAGATGGTTTGCCTCAACTTTCATGGGAATATACAGGGATAAAAGTCATTGCTAAGGCAGCCATGACTCAAACCACCTAGGGATACAATGCCTGAAATCAACACCTCCTATAAGATTGGAAACAAAATAAAGAGTAACACAGATCACAGCCTGTTTTGGCAATTTCCAGCAGGAGCTGAGCCAATGAGAAATCCCTAAGCTGTAACATCCCCGACTCATTGAAGCGAGGCACATGTAACATCTCCACGAGAAATTCAGCTTGATGACTGTAGAAACACAGGTAATATTGGCAAAAGAGTCATCTCCAAAAACATAGATTGAAATCTGGTTATTAAAAGCAGGTAGCAAATAATTGCATGTCACCTCAAGCTATATGTTCAATCATCAATGTAAAATGGTGATTACTTAAACTTTTTAAAGGCTACTATTCCTTTCTGAAGATGCCACAGAGATCCTAACCAAAAATAGCAAGAGAAAATTTATTCTCATCGTCCATGCTTGTGGTATTTCAGTGACTTTTGGAGCTTAATTGTGGTTCACTCTCCGTATTTGTTCTCAAATCAATTTTACTGTGATGCAATAAAGAAGCAATGTCCTTAAACATTGTTTATAAACATTATACAAACATTTTTCTAAAAGACCACAGCACTCCAACACAATCTCTTGCTCTTTGTGTGTGTGCATGGGCTTGTGCATGCACATTTTCATGTGTGTCTGTGTGTGCAAGTGTGTGTATACAGGACAATCATTTCTTCTAGCTGGAACATATATTAAGTTAGTGCAAAAGCAATTGCAGTCTTTGTAATTACTTTTAAAATGGCAAAAACCACAGTTACTTTTGTACCAACCTCACGTGTGTGTGTGTGTGTGTGTGTGTGTGTGTGCGCGTGTGTGTGTGTGCACACACGTATATGTGCATACAACTCTAACATGATGTTGGTGTTTTGGCTAGCTTCACGTTTCTTGTTTTCAAGAACAAACAAAATTTATGGTCACAGCATGGACTTTAGTTCTTTTTTTCTGTTGTCCTCTTCTATCAGTTTTCTGTCACCATGGAACAGGGTTTAATGATTGAAAAGATGCATGCTGCTGTTATTTTTAAGACTGAGGAAACAAATGTGTGACTGTTGGACTAATAGCTACAATTGTACATCCTGACACTAGTTAAAACTAAAATTGGGCTTTTTACTGATTTTTTTTTTAGTCACTCTAAACTTTTAGAAAAGAAATCCTGACCATAGTGTCACTAAGCACTAGAAAGAAAAGGCCTCCAGGCCTCTGTCAATTTGTTGGCAAGAAATAATTTTGGATTAGGGCTGCGCCATATATCATGTAGACCATTCAAGCTAGTAAGATATCACCACTCTAGTGGAGTTCTCTATTTTGATTTTTCCTCATTTCTTTACGTACAGAAAGCTATCTGCCTAAGTGAAGCAATATGAACTAATAGCTGTATTAAGCCCAACTTATTAATGATGCTGTGTCCCAGGTACCCAGGCGAGAAGGCTGAGAAAGGAGTCTTTTCTCTCTAGCTCTCCCTCTCTGTTATACAGACATACCTAGAATTTCATGTCAAGAATACTTTAATCACTGATGAAAAAAATAACATGACAATTTCAGAAAGTTGATGAACATTACTGGTTATAACAGAAAAGCAGAAGTTCATAATTTTATACAGTGCAGAAAATACATACTTCTACTCCTGAAAGAGTTGGCCAGTTTTAGTTAGTGATCCAATGAGGAAGCCTTAGTAAAACACATATGTTCTTAAAACCAGGGTACATCTCTGCCAAAAAGCTATGAGGTATATTTATACTTGAATGCAAATTATATGATGTAGCCTGTCAGTTCATTGCTGCTTCAGAACATGCAAGAATTCTGTTTATTATTATATTCAATTTCTATATAAAAGCAATAGGCAAAAGGAGATTAAATGTGCTAAACACTGCTTTCAGCTTGGACTTTGTGTTCACAGGTGAGCAGTAGGCAGTGCAAATCTCCTTCCTTTGAGACAGGCCCTTTGCATTGTAAAAGCAATACCACATCATTTGCACAAATCCTTGCCTACCTACATCTTTATACTATCATAATATGGCTTTGGAGGAATGGAACTCAGGAAGTTTTGACTATGTTTATGTATCTTCAGCCTCATATTTTTAATGTGGAAAAAGTAAACAAAGCAGGAATATGTATTTAATCTGACAGCCTATTTTCTTGTTGTATGAATATGTAAAAACCCACCTGTTCAAACTTTGCACATGATCCCACAAGAAGAGCAGCACCGACAGGTGGATGGATAGACTGTATTCGAGCATTTTCTGGTTAAACACATTCACAAATCCCAAAACGCACATTGAAAGACTTATCTGCTGCCACAGGCAACCAACTTGATTTATAAGGAAAACACTGATTGACTACCTACAAAGCGTTTTATGCTTCATATAAATAAAAAATTGTGCCATATCATCTCTGCCCTCAATCCTGAAGATTTTCAAGAAGTGCATGGTATCTGTTGGAATAGTTGAAAGATATGGAACATATTTGGGTGTGATTGCTGTTTTTAGTTTGTCGAAAAAATCAAATTACCTGCTGTTTCAAAGAACATTGGTTTTTATTCCCTTGGCACAAAATCAATAAAAGTCCCTCCAGCACAGCAGCTGTTGTTTAATGGCCCTAAAGAGTTAATGCGCTGCCTAAATTGAACACAGTTCGGTGTCTACACCAAGTGGGCCCTCAATTAGTGTTGATGGATTGACTTCCTCAGAGGTGGTAAAAGCTCAGTTTATAGAGATGGATCCTATGAGACTAAAATCAATAACTTAAGAAAATTGTGTTGAATTCTTTATTTGTAGCAATATATTATGTACAGATATAAAAACTATATGTATTTGTATCCATTGTTGAAAACAATATTTTTTGTTCACTGACATGCTAATAGATGCTCAGTAGCTTTAAACAATGATCTAAGCATAGGAGACCATAAAAGTTGGATAACTTAATGTATATATTCTGATTGTGATATAGGACTGACTATAAAGAAATCAATGAGCCAAATATCTGAAGATGGGATGTAAGCATCGCTGATTAGTAATAACTTTTAATCACAGTAATAAAAATTGCCCTGTACTGAGAAAGATTCTGTTTGAATTGCTTATTGTAGATCATCTCTAGTGTATAGGCTCTGATAACTTTCTACATTATTTTATACTATTCTTTAAGGCAGATAAGCATGTTTTCGAAGATGTGCCCAAATCAGTCATTTAATTTGAAAGTATAATGAACTTCCTCTTTAGCCTCCATGAGGGTGGTATGGTTTTACCACTTGATCAGCTGACAGATGAGAAAGCATCTTCTTAGTCAAAGCAGAATCTTAGAGCCCTAGGGAATGGACTGCTGGGTACTTCAGGAGAGCATTGCTCTTGCATCCTATGTCCAAACCACAGCTGTGCTCAACATTTGAAGTTTGAACAAATAAACCAACAAGTATCTACTACCACAAGATGGGAAGTGGAATTAGTTCAGAGAGCAAGGAGTCAGCCAAAAGATCAAAAGAACTGGAGAAAAAGCTTCAGGAGGATGCTGAGCGAGACGCAAGAACTGTAAAGCTGCTCCTATTAGGTAATTTATTTTCCCTTTTGCTCTCAAAAACCTGACTTTTTTTCAATTGGCATACATTTACTTTTCTCAAACTTTAATTTTGAGTGTATTATGTGGGAAATTTATTATGAAAATGTATTTGGAAACTTCAGCAGACTTTATTTGCACTTTATCAATATTTAATAATTTTTCTATTTAGTATTTTATTACATGGTTTTTTTTTGTTAGCAAAGAGGTAAATATTTATCAGCTAATTTCTCTGTCAATAATATGATTTACTATTATTAAAAGAAAAATCAGATATATTTATCATTTTATTACATTCTAATTATTTTCTGAATGTCAGCTTTTTAATGCTGAAAGCAATCTTTAATTAAAAGTTATAAAGAGTTATATTATTTTGTTTAAACAGAAATATGTTGAGCTGTTTGATGTTGAAGTTAATGTTATTTATTTACTTACGTTGTTAAAATCAATTAGTCAAGTTATTTAGAGAGTAATGATAAGGTACTTTAAATTATATTGACACTATTACTTAGGCTCCTTATTACTGCCTGTGACATTGCTTGTATGCTTGAAAAATACTCTATCTAAATCCTTTTAGTGCAATTACATATTCATTCAGGTCAGGATTTATGTCTCTTTTATTTTTTTCCTTTCCTCAAAACTCAACACACTGTTTTACCTTGACTCTAAGTTCAATAGTGTTCAATTAATTGAAAAAATAAAAATAACCTGTATGCAGATTTTTTTCTATAAAGCATAAAACATTTTATATGAGGCATAAACATTTCACATGCAGTTGTCACTGAAACAGAAATATGGTTATGAAATAAAATAATGACCTCTATAAAGAAGAATACACAATAAGCGCTTAATTCTGATTGAATTATAGGAAGTTGTACATTCTCCCTGATTTTGGTTATACATAAAAGGACTTCATTTTATTTCAGAATTGTGCATATTTCACATTACAAATTTCCTCATATTTTAAGTATTTAAATATTTAAATACTTAATAATGTAAAACGAATTAAATTCTTAAATTTATTTAAGCATTCCTTCATTGTGTCTAATTTGCTCCCAATAGCAAGAGTGTTTCAGAAGCCAACTGTGGGATTCCCAGCTCTTGCTCCTTAAAGGAAAGGAAAGGTTCTTGCCCCTTACACACAGGCTCTGTGTCTGCACACAGGCCCATGGCAATTGTCAATAACCATCCAGCTGTTGGTGACTTAGAAAGATGTGGGTTAAGTGCTTATGACACCGGGAAATATAAGCTTCCTAACACATCAGAAAATTCTGTTAGTTTCTGATCAGACTGAAAGTAATATTGACATAGGAGAAGCAAATGCAAGGTGAAAGAGAAAGACAAGCATTCCTACAAATGAATTTTTATATTCCTCTTGTGCTAAGATCGATGGCATAAGAATGATAAAATGTATTTAAAATCCCCATATTTAAATAACATTTCAATAGATGCATGTTTTCAATATACCAATTATCTGTTTTTTATATATTCTCCTATTTTGTAAAACTACAAATGGAAAGCCAAAAAAAAGAAAGAGCTAATATCACAATTGAGATTAAGATAAAAACTTATTAAACATGCCAAAAGCAATGACTCTTGAGATAAGCATATCAGAGCAGCCAGTCAACTGGAGATTCAGTTGTAATGGAAAATAACAAGGTAGAGTGGTGGTTTCTAGGGGCTAGGGTGGTTGGGGGAAACAAGGGGAAATGGAGTTGTTGGTTAAAGACAAAAAAAAAATCACAGTTACATAGGAGGAATAAATTTCAAGAGATCTATTGTACAACAAGATGACTATAGTTAATTATGATATATTGTATTCTTGAAAAATGTAAAGAGAGTGGGTGTTATGTGCATTTACCACAAAAATGATAACTGTGAAGTAATACATTTGTTAATTAGCAAGATTTAACCATTCTACAGTGTGTTTGTGCTTCAACATACCGTGTTGTACACAATAGAGGCATACAATGTTGTCAATTAAAAAAATAAAAATGTTTAAAAAGAATACGTATAGATGACTGAAAATACATTATTGAAAACCGAATCAAAACGGTTTGATGTAACAATGGTCAAAAGGAATTTTTTTTTTTTTTAATTTGGAACTGAAAATCAACAGACTACTGATAAATATGGGCTTCCAGAATTAGTAAATTTCACAACTCCACAAAGCCATTGACTGAGGCCCAACTTATTGTATGCAATGCTATCAAATGAAAAATAAATTATATCAATTATTTTCAGACTTAAGTGGCAGTTAAATCAAGAAGAAAGAGCAACATCTGTACCAGAAGTATAAAAGAATAATTAGTGGGACTATTACATGTTTTACTTTCCCAAGGTGATCACAATTTTATACATTTAGTTTCATAATTACTAAGTAAAATACTTGGATTTATTGGGTTCCAACAGAATGTGCCCTAAACTCCTTTGTCACATTTTATTTATACAAAATAAATTAAACTCTCTTAAGTTGTTCATATTTCAATTATATTACAAACAATTGACTAAGTTTCCATTCTGGATTTCATCTGAATTCTATGTATGATGACACAGTTATCAAATTCCTAACAGTCATGTAACTCTACTTCATTCTCATGTTTTTGGATTGAATTCAAATTCTCAAAACTTTAATTTTTATATTCAAGTTGACCTCATTAAGACATTATAAAAGTGTTCAGTTGAACTAAACCAAAGCTTTCCACTCTCCCACCTCAAATCTCCCCACCAGTGAAATCTATTTAATTTTCCCATCACTGAAATGGTGCTCCCATTCATCAGTGTGATCTGAACAACAGTTTTAAGTTTGACAATGAGCTCATATCACATGGGGCTAATCAGTTTAACCTTAGTAGTGACCAGACCTGAGTCAGTAACTACATTTACAAAAATAAGAAATCTAAAACCACTTTTGACAGATTTTTTTTTCTGTATGTTGATCTTCATCTCATGAATTTCTAGAAGCTTAAACTCGTAACAACAACTTTCCAAATTTAACATGTACTGTAAAGCAAGTGTAACCGTTTGGTATTATCGAACACAAGATTTCACTGAATCTGAAGAGCTATCAAAGTGCTACTTTACAAATTAAAGGATCATCTTGCAGACAGATGCCTTTTTATTACACCTTTCAGACCTTCAGTAAAATTACAGAACAGATGCCAAATCTGTGTTTTATTTTAACAAAAAGTAGGCTTTTAGGAAACACTGGTGATGACTCATACCTTGCTGAGCACATTAGATAACTGCAATCAAGACAATAATGTCATATGCTTTTAAAAAAATTCACTTGCAAAGATATTCCAGAAAGAGCACATTTTAAAAAGAAAAACAAATTCTAATGAATATTCTCATTTTTATCTAAATTCACTTTGAAAGTTTAATTTATAAATGTTTCATTCAAAGGTATTTTATTCAAAATAATACCTATTATTTAATTGTAAACTCAATATGTATCATGTTTCCATTTTTCTTTTCTCTTCTCTTCATGCTTATTGCATCAAATTTCAGTCTGAGTTTATTTTGCTGCATCAGGTTCCTTTGTGTTTTTGCAAATTTTCATCACATGGGCTGGTTAGATTTAAAACACCATGGAAAGTATAGGGAAACAGCTAGCCTTCCTTTTTCTTCATATTCAAAACACCCTCTGCTATAAATAATTAACATTTATTCTACAATTTTTCACTTTCAGCTAGTGATTTCCAACAATACCGTGGAAAATTTATCATAGATGTTCTTTTCTTTCATTTTAAAATCTTTTATTTCTAATTTTTCTTTGTGCTACATTGTAAGCACCACACTATTGTTATTTTAATGATGTCCTCTGAGCTTTACTGTTTTAAAATATTATTCCACCTATCTGGCTTTTAGAAACATGAATAGGGATGGAGTCTAGAGATCAAAAACTATCTATTTTCAAATGTAATATAGTTATTATAGTTAACATTTTCAAACTTTTCAAATGGTTTCACTTATTCAACAAATAGATATTTTGGAAGGTATGTAGCAGGAGAATTATAATGATTTTGACGCTATCTAAAGGCTTGGTACAAAATAATTGGTAAAATAAAACTTAAACATCAGAATAAGCTAAATAGGTTTAACCACAGAGCAGAATGAGGAAAATACAATTTATTGCTAGAACAGAATGTATTTTTAAACCATCTGAGTTAGAAATTGATTTATTAATATATTCATCAAGTATAATGTTTTTATACTTCCCAGAGTGACCATAGGCTAGTCACATAAACTCAGAGAAATAATGGATGCCAAGTGTTTTGTAACTTGTAAAGATCTAGACAAATGTGGTTTATTCTTTGGCATAATAGATTCCCAAATCTAAAAAAATTAAAACTCAATAAATGTGTGTCATTATTCTTAGTTTGTCTTTCTTTTACATGTAACTAAGAGAAGTGAGGACTCAAGACTTGGGTTACATTTAAGTGACTATTTTTATTCTATGTGTGCTTTTTAATTGGTCTTTTTTTTTTTTTTAATTATCCCTAGATATGAGTGATTCCAGGAAACTAGAGTAGTTTCTGAGTTACTGATTAGATTACAAGTTCATCAACTCTTAATTTTATTACACTAACATAGCCCATGCCTGTCTATGGATAGGAGCAGATAAACACATTCTTTGGAATAATTACATTAGAATTAACCAGTAAGTCTCCTTCTGATCACTGGTAATAAAAGAAGAATCTTCTTAACATGTAAAACGTATTCCCAATGATATTTTCAACTTTTTGTTTTGTTTTGTTTATTTAAATTAAAACCAGTTTTTCCTTCCTCCAACAAGAGTACATTTTTATTTTGAATGTATTTATAAACATTATAAAATAATTTATTTTTGTATGGCATAATGGTTACAGTTAATGACATTATATTGCATTCTTGAAAAATGCTGAGAGTGGATAAGTGTTCTCACCGCAAAAATAGCTATGCAGGGTAATGCATATGTTAATTAGCTAGATTTAACTATTTCAAAATGTATA